GTTGCAGTCTGGGAAGTTAGGTGACAGCCATAACTATATTTTCCTGCTTGTGTGGCATGGTGCAGAGTCCTGTTGCCAGACATAGGATCTTACAACAGCCACCCTCTTGACCCAAGTCAGCACTATCTCCTCAAGGCACTTGATGTAGACCTTCATGTTGAGTCTGAGATCCTGTGGGAAGATGAATGGAGGCATATCATCATCATCACTAGTGATTACTCTAAACACCATAATGTTGACGGATATATCATCTAACTCTTTCCGAATCCTCCTCACTATCTGCAGATTGCCACCCAAACACTATGAAATGTTCACATTGGAGCTTCTGGCATGAATGCTAAGCAGTACCACATGCCTTTTCCAAATCTTTGATGGAATTGATTGTGTCATTGTGATCTTTTTCTTACAGACAGTGCCCAACTGACCTTACTATACTGTGGAGTTGACAAAATCAAAAACAAATAACATGCATACACGAAATTAAAAATATAAAATAGTGACAATTTATCCATCAAACCCTGTATATATATATATATATATATATATATATAAACCGGTAAATGTTGTTAATACTGTTTATTATAAACAGAGCATTTACTTAAATATTTGTGTATATATAAAAAACGTATAATAATACAATATATTAAAAAAATAATTGTCAGGCTTAGTGTATTTCATAGTGTGTCAGGTCATTTGTTTACGTTAAGATACACTTTGAGTAGATATGGACGTTCAAGGGAAATCATGGAAAGTTTGTAGTTTAAAAGCATGTATGATGGGGTCTATGTAAGACTATGATAGGTAAAAATTGGTATTATTTTTAATTTTTTAAGGCTGTTTTGATATTATGTTAAAGCCAATTATTTGCTTGTTTTTGGTGATTGCGCATATGTAAATGGTAGAAATTCCAATTTGTAATACTTATTAATATTTATGCAGTGGTATTAATTTTGCTGAGGGAGGGAGAAGTAAGTATAATCGTGGACTGATACAGTAATGGTAATTGTTGACTAATATGGCAATAGTAATTGTGATGTGGTAGTAATGGTAGGGGGGAGTGGGTGATGATAATAACAATTGTAGCAGCAAATAGTTATTGTAAAGTGGGAAAAGTGATCGTAGTAATGGTGGTAGAATGATAATAACAATAATTATAATTATTATGATGGTAATTTGAACTAGTAAATAATTTATGGTGTTATGGTGTCAGTGGTTTCAGTTTCATGTTTACAATGGTCAATGGTGGTTTATGTTGTAGTGTTTGTTGGTATTTTTTTTATCCATTTGGCATAAATTCTGACAATAGGTATTTATTTTCATGACTGCATTTGGAAATTATTTTTGATCTTATGTTTAGCAAATTCTTTTGTTGGGTATGAGAAATTATTGCTACCTTTTCATGTAGGCAAAGCAGGCATTTCTTTGTAATGTTGTTGTAGGCAGGTGCTGTTTTCATTATTTATTCTTGGTGTAATATTTCTGTCTTTTAGATGCCATATGTATGTGGATAGTGCAGTGTTGTTTGAGTATTTTCTGTTGGAGAATGAAAGGTCATAGTTGTTTTTTCTCTTCTTGAATAGTACCTCAGTGGTACCAATATAGTACATTGTGCTATTGTTTGCTTTACCTTGGCTTAATATATTATATTCATTTGATGGCAATTTCCTTGGAGTGGACATGTTGTTTTATTTCTGTAGTTGCATTGAGGTTCCTTGGTTGCATTATTGTAGGTTGTTATTTTTTTGTTGTGGCTTTTTATTATTTGTGTTATATTTTTTGTGCAGCTGTAACTGAGTTTAATGTTATTTTTTTTTTGTTTCAGGGAAGTGCTTTTCTATTAAGTTTAGGAATGCCTTCCTATATATATATATATATATATATATATATATATATATATATATGTATAGGAATGTTCTTCCTATATATATATATATATATATATATATATACACCTGTCAGCCATTACAATTATCAATTCACTTATATGAAATCATTCATAAAGTCAAAAAATTGATTTTTTACTAATATTTGATAGTGTATGTTGTATGTCTGCCTTAATGTACCAAATTAAGAAAATACTTGAAGAAGTAACTATTGATTGTACAACAACTTAAAATTAATCCATCAAATTTCAGTGCCGTGAATTTAAAATGTTGAACAAGTGTCAACATATGTCACCACTGAAATTGGATTAAGACAAATTGGTTAAGAAATGACACAATAGTTTAACAGGACTTACCTTACACAATTGAATTATTTGACTGCTATTAGTAACATAGTTAGAGGGGCTGAGGGGGCTGGTCCACTTTGGGCAAAATATTTATGGGTGTATCTGCTGTATAAGCTGTATTGAAATAAAAGAGTTTTAATGTCTGGATACAACTCACAGTTGAAGAGTCTTTTTGATTTTGAGTAACTTACTGTGCATATGTATTTAAGTGATTGTTATCTTGGTTGTACAATGAATATTATCCGGTGATGTATTCAGAGCCTTTGTACCTTTGATTTTCATCTGAACTTCTTTTTCCAAATTACTTCATTGTATTTCAGCTTATGATAAATTACTTCATTGTGTTCCAGCTTATTTTTATTATATATATATATATATATATATATATATATATATATATATATATATATATATATATACATTTATATTTAAAAGGGAGTCACTGTGCAATATGTGGTATTTTTGTGAGTGGTTGAGGGGGAGGTTGGCAAACTCATGGGCTGCCCTGGGCAACATACACTCTAGCTATGCTAGTAACTGCAACCTGCACTTTTTAAGCAACAAAGTCATCTGCTTTATTTACTGATGGCTTACAACTGAAAATGATTATTTGAGTTTGACAAACAGAACATTGTTTACTGAAAATTGCTCAATCCAAAATAGAAACAAACCTCACTCTTCTGACTTACTTATGATTGTTTTCACAAAACCTGCCTATTTCACAAAAATGTTAATCTATATGTTACATGAATGACATGTAAAAAAATGTTACAATTAGGTTAGAAAGTTCTTTTATGCCTGTTCTACTCATTTGATTTTTTTATATTCTCTGAAAAACTCCCAGTATCATCCAGACTTCAAAGATGACATCACAAAAAATATAATGCAAACACTCAGTTTGAAATTAATATCATTTTATCATAGATCCAGGCACTGTATAATTTTTCTCTACATTAAGAGAAAGTAATTAACAATGGTAATACAGTTAAATGAAAATAAGAAAAACAAAAAAAAAATTATTTTTAGAAATACTCAAACTGTTGAATGCACAAAATGAAAATTTTCTTACAAACCAAGTGCACAACTTTCTTCCTTTTCTTTATGGCCATGAAACTCCACTGTGGAGTATAGGGCTACAGCCTGATGACACTAGGTGTCACTGCTGTGATTTCTGTAGTAATTTTTATAGGGTAGAGATGACAGCCCCATACCCAATCAGTTTTGAATATTGAGTCGTCCTTTAAACCACATAAAATATTTTGATTTAGAATTAGTTTCACAGAATTAAAACCCAAATATTTAGGTTTTAATGTTTCTAGTAAAACAGAATAAATATTATTTATTGTGGAAGAATCTTGTGTCCTTTATTTCTAATTATAGGTTTATTCAAGACCTCATCAGATTAGAGGTAGAAGCTACTGCTCATAAATCTGTAATGTGCTGTCACTAATTCCAAGTAGATCTTTCAATTCCTTTTTTATAGGTTAATATGCACTATTAATTAGTAGAGTAAAATTATCCACCTATTTAAAAACAACATTATTCCAGTCAAATATCAAATCTATCATCCTATTTTTCAAGAAGTGATTCACTGAAACTCTTTAAATAACTGCAAATTATAATTTTTAGAGTAATTGTTTTGTTTAAATATAATTCATCATATATAACCTTCCAAGAACATTTGATTTCTTCCCTCTCTTTTCTGTACTTACCTCAAAATATAACAGAAATCTGTTAATGATAGCAGCTGTTAGACAATTACAAAATCAGTCATTAATAAACAAATTTATTCCCATTATATCCCACCATTTGATAATGATCATGTAATCATTTTGATTTGTGTTATTTGATGATTGGAAGCAAAATAACCTGAAATAAATAAACCACCATCTTTGCTTCATAAAATTTTATCAAAAAAATATATAATCATATGTCACTATAGAGAAAGTCAGGTGCCTTAATGGAAGATGTTTTTTCTTAAATTTTGTTTCCTACTTCCATGCAACCATTTTCTTATTATTTAAAATCATCATATCAACTTCCACAGATTTTTGATGAATAAAAGAAAACAGTGCAAGAGAAATGTATATATTAATTGTAATAGTATATACATAAATATTTTTTTTACAGTAAAGTTTTCACTGCTCTATTGCTACTTCCATGGAAAGTGCTCAAATAAACTACATTCCTTGGTTCTAACAGGTCTAACCATCTTGGCTAGAACCCACTATGGCAACCACATTCTCTCCATATTCCATCAGTTCTACTAAAACAGCTCCTTCCCACAAACCAATGCACTGTGGAACCGACTTCCAAGATAATGTTTCCCTGATCACTACAAATTTAACCTGTTCAAGTCTAGAGTTAACCATTATCTTCCCCTCCTAGCTGTATAAACTGCCTCAATATAACCCAACACAAAAAAATATCTATTTATATTTCAAGGTGACATTTTAAAAACTTTGATTTCTATAGTAGTATTGGTATTAAAAATAATTTGAAAAATAATTTATAACTTGAAAGAGATTAAAATTCTACATTGAATTCAATCCTTAATGAAGTTACATTAAACAGTAACTAGATTACATTAGGTAACCGAAAATGTATGTTTGTTATTTGACATAGATGTCAAAAATGCAATAAAATAGTTTAATGAAGAAACATTTTCCCCATTTAGTTCCAAAATGTGTTTTTTTCTTCAATGAAGGCATATAAATATCTTTTAAATAGAATTCTTTGGGCTTTGATTCAAATAGATGATAATCTAGAGATGAGAAGAGATGATAATCTAGAAGCAAGAAGAGATGATAATCTAGAAGCAAGAAGAGATGATAATCTAGAAGCAAGAAGTGATGATAATCTAGAAACAAGAAGAGATGATAATCTAGAAGCAAGAAGTGATAATAATCTAGAGGCAAGAAGAAATAATAATCTAGAAGCAAGAAGTGATGATAATCTAGAAGCAAGAAGAGATGATAATCTACATACAAAAAGAAATGATAATCTAGAAGCAAGAATTGATGATAATCTAGAGAAAAGAAGTGATGATAATCTAGAAGCAAGAAGTGATGATAATCTACAAACAAAAAGAAATGATAATCTAGAAGCAAGAAATGATGATAATCTAGAGAAAAGAAGTGATGATAATCTAGAAGCAAGAAGTGATGATAATCTACAGACAAAAAGAAATGATAATCTAGAAGCAAGAAATGATGATAATCTAGAGAAAAGAAGTGATGATAATCTAGAAGCAAGAAGTGATGATAATCTACAGACAAAAAGAAATGATAATCTAGAAGCAAGAAGTGATGATAATCTAGAGGCATGAAGAGATGATAATCTAGAGAAAAAAAGTGATGATAATCTAGAAGCAAGAGATGATAATCTAGAGACAAGAAGAAATGATAATCTAGAAGCAAGAAGAGATGATAATCTAGAAGCAAGAAGTGATGATAATCATGTGACATATCCTGTAAATATGGCAGATAAGCAGGAATTCTTAGCCAACACTTTTCAACTTGAGCTATACAGGAAATATGTAGATTTTTATAATCCTGAATGGAAACAATTCCTTTATGATTGACTAACACTGATTGTTGCCAGATTAACACAATTTTCATTCTGAACTTGTGCAATGAATACTTTACTTGTTTTTATTATTACATGTTTTCAGTGTTGCAACTTGTAATCTATCATACCAGAACTATTCACCCAAACACTTTTTGCTGTTGAAACCCAAGTTTTTCACTTTTCAGTCAAACTTTACTTGTAGATAGCAAGCCATATAATCACTTTCATTAATTGTTCAGGACCTTTTTTTTCATTGCAGGTGAATATTCAAACAAAAATCAGTTCATTATTTTGGCATGAAAGAAATGAGAAGTGAGGGAAAATTAAATAAATCAATAAATAAAAAAAGAAATATATTTTACTACGATGCTAGTAATAAAGGAACCAGAAAGTTTATCACCCCATTTTGCTTTGTCAAAATGTCTGTTAGTTGGCACTGTGTAAGTCTATAAAAAGACAAACATTTCTTTCCTCTCTTTTTTTTCTGTCTTGCGCCAAAGTGTGTGCTACACTTTGGAGACATTGATAACTTTGTGCAGTTTATATAAAAAAAGAGAATAAACAGTCTGTGGTAGAAACCCAAGTTTCATATGCTTCTTCTTTAATTGTTTACATATGAACACATATACACATAAAATACACTAACACACAACCTTTCTAATTCCATAGAAGTATGCAATGATTCATTGTTGCTTGTTTTGTTTATTCAGTTCCTATGGTACCTATTTCCATTATGCATCTTTTTCTAATATAGTGCAAATGCAAATATAAAATTTGAATCACTTGTACCAAACCATAATGCATCTGATACATTTGAAGTGGATTAGATTGAACAAATCCTCTGTTGGTCACCAAGAATGTATTAACATTATTTTATACCTTTCTATTTTGGATCAATATGCTCATCATGGTTCTTATATTCACAATGTTTCAGATTTTGTACCCTCTGACCTTCTTTATGTTTTTGTCATTGTATTTAGTAATAGAAAAGCATATGATAATTTACTTAGTTTAAAATCACTTGAACTATTTTGAGTAGCACAGTCACTAACTTCACTGTATATATTCTACAGCCTTTTTCTACTATTTTTAACCAAGTTTAAATTCATACAGTTGACAGATCTCACAATCAATTTTTTGGCTACCATATTGATTTTACTCCTTAATACTGTAAATATACTCTTCTTCAGATTATCTGGTATTAAATGTAGATTTAAAGTTAACAAAAAAAATAATGATATTTGACTTTTGAAAAGATTTTTAAAATTTAAATTTTTTTAAAAATTGAAATAAAAGGAGAGATTTGAAAAAACACATGAATTTTATCAGTCACCTTATGAAGTGAAATTTAATGTGTATATCTATGCAAACCAAAAAAATAAACATATTTCCATAATTGTTAGATGAGTGGATTGAGTTTCAGTTTTTCTGAGCTTTATCTTCATTTGTTTTATATACAGAGTGCAATGGATAAATTGTCGTTTAAATTATGCAAAAATTAAAATAATACTGACATGTCATTTTAACAGATTTATTTACCAAAATTACAAAAAAATATCTTGAAATACTAAAGAGATATTTTTATTTTTACAAAATAGTGCTCAATGTAAATTTACAGAGCATTAATATTATAAATTAATTGATTTAAAATATGTTTTTTTCTGCTACACAGTTCTAACCATGTTTCAAAAATGGAAACTAAACTTTAAAGTTACTCCAAAATTCACTTGAGGATGAAATGGAACTAATGTCTTTAATTTAATTACAAAATTAAATTCGGGGCTTTTAGCTTCCATTTTTGAAACATGGTTAGAAGTGTGTAGCAGAAAAAACCATATTTTAAATCAATTAATTTATAATAAGAAATACTAAAGAGTAAATTTATTTAATAAAATTACCATTGGCTTCAACTACAGCCTCCAGTTGACTTTGGAGTCTTCTGCAATTCTTCTGGACAGTCTCCTTGTTTAAGTTGGTGAGTGTTGCAATAATGCCTTGAGGTCATCTCTGGAGTTTTGTTGGTCTCTCACTCAAATGGGCCCCATGCATAATAATCAAGGGGGTTGCCATCTGAGAAGTTAGGTGACCAAATGTAAGAGGTAATGTGGTAGCAGAAATTTGTCTGGAAGCCATGACTGGGTTCTCCTGCTTCTGTGGCATGATGCAGTTCTGTTGCCAGATATAGTCTTCCAGCAGCCACCCTCTTGACCCAAGGCACTTGATGTAGAGATGTTGAGACCATGTTGAGACCCTGTGGGAAGATGAATAAAGGCATAACATTGCCATTACTTGTAATCACACCAAACACCATGGTGTTGACTGGATATATCATCTAACTCTTTCCAAATTCTCTGCACTGTCCTCAGATTGACAGTCAAACACTGTGAATTGTTCCCATTGGAGCTCCAGGAATGAATGCCAAGCAGTATAGTGTTTCCAAATTTCTAGCAGAGACAACTGTGTTATGGCACTCTTTTTCTCACAAATCTGACCTTACTATACTGTGCAGTTGACAAAATCAAAAGCAAACAACATGATGCATGAAATTAAAAAATATAAAATGGCAGCAATTTACCATTCGCACCCTGTATGTCATTAGATCTTAAACAATAATTTAATCAGTCATCCATGTTACTTTAAAAAATTAAGCAATAACTATTACATATTGAATTAGTATTAAAAGAGTAAATGTAAATAACAAACATAAAAGGAAATAAAACTTAGAATTTCCTGTGTGAATAACTTATTTGGAAAGTATGTGGAAAGAGAAAGAATCCTATTACAATTATTATTATAATTTCTAATAAAATTTCATATGGTTTTACTCATTAAATTCATGAGTGAAAAATTCTAAGTCAGTTAGGTTCAACTTCATAGCCATTCTATAAATTTGTAACTAAACTATAACATAAACTAGCTTACAAAATCGACAAAGCCAAAAAACCAAACACCACTAATAACACTTTTAACAAAAATTACACAAAATTCATAATCTTGCCGTCCAACACTCTTTCTACTAAACTCAAAAACAAAATAAGATTGTTACCACCACCTCCAAGACAACCAGAGATGTAATGGGAATGAAAAATAAACTCAACACCAATTCCAATACTGGATTTATCAAATAAATTGTTTATAATGCAACAATATTTATGTAGGGGAGACATCATGTGATCTAAAAACCCACATCTACAAATACGAAAGAGATTTACATTTGGACAAACATTCTAACTCTCTCGTATTACACAGGAATGATGCTGGCCATAACTTTGATTTTACTAACATCACCCTAATTAAAAAGTACAAAGTATATGTATATAAAAACAGCCCCAGATTCATAGAATGTGACCCCACTATGCTGACAACAGAAAAGTGAAAACATTAGAATTCCTCCTACTAGACAGATACACATACACAATTATGAATGCACATTACCATCTGATGCCCACTTAGACATATTAGATTTTTTACAAACTTACATACATATAGAATTATCTGTAGTTTTAATACATGTGATACATGAATGACCAATGAGAATCAATCCAAACAAAATTGAAAATACCAAAGTTCTGTCTTTTTGTCTGTTTTCTTCCAATCTCTGATGAAGCTTTAATAAAAGTGAAAGATGTTAGACATTTCCTATTTGTTCTTTATTTTATTATAAATCATTTTGTAAACATCATAAAATATCTACAATATAGCAAATCTCCAATTTGCAAAATCTGTAAAATATCTTCCCACATTCTTTTTATTTAGTTTTCCTTACTATAATGTCTTTAAGCATAAATATTAGCTGTACATAAATTTATTGAATATAAGCAAAGTCTAACACAAGACTGTTTCCAGGATGATGTTATGAAAAACTTCTAAGGATAGCTTTTAAAAATAACCTACTAACATTATAAGTAAATGTCTAATTATTAAATAAAATCAGCTACTGCAAACACTGAAACCTGCCTTGTTGAATCTAATGTGTCAACTTCTAATCTTTACTTAATCTGATGTGCAAGGTCTAATGTTAATGATAGAAACAGGAGAAATATTTTCAAGTTCTTAAAAATCATTAATTTTTGATGAAATACAGTAAAATGAAGTATAAATATTTTGCTATAAATTTATCATTTACAAGATATATTGATTTCTACTTGAATGCAATACCTGCACTGAGCATAACTCTTCAAGTTCTTGAAAATTATGTAAGAATTAGAGATTTGGGTGAAAAAATAAAATTAGTTGCTGATCATTTGAAATATTACTCAAAATGAAATCAATTATCTTAATTAGATCAATACAAAATATAACATTTTAAGTAAATGTTAAGTTCATATCAAATAATCAAATAATGTAGTAAATTTAATTCTAACATTAAAAAAAGTGAACACAACTAAAAAAAAGTGATTTTGAGGTCATTATGCCTAAAGATACTTGCCTTAAAGTCATTCAAGCATTTTACATTTATTTATTGTGAAATTATGGGAAGGTTTTAATGTTAAGATTAAGCATTCTGTTTTATTGCCTTTGTTAGAATTCTAAAAAATATTCTTTTTCAATTTTATTGATATTCTTTTTGGGGGTTCACAATTATAGAAAGAAACAGATAAGAAATTTCCCTGGAGATATTCTCTAGTCTATCAATTAGATCAAAATCATCCACATTAAAAAGCAAACATTCATAATAAAAAGGATGATATGCATATATCAATAACTTAGGCAAATGTCAAAAAATAAAAAAAATATATATATTATAGAAACTTAGTT